ACGATTAGTTAAAAAGGAGCAGTTAGAAGAACAGGTTTTCATAGCTTACGTGAGGCCTGTCACTGAGCCTACGCAAGAGAAACATATAGACCCAACTATTGCCAAGCTGCTGGAAGAGTTTAAAGATTTGGCAGAGCCGCCAACAGGAGTAGTGTCGCGGTCGATCCAGCACCGTATAGAGACAAACCGTGGCAGTAGAACTCCTAAGGGTGCGATTTACAGAATGTTCCTAAGGGAGTTAGAGGAGTTACGTAGGCAGTTGGACGAGCTCCTCGAAAAGGGTTGGATTAGGCTCAGTTCGTCTCCCTTTGGAGCACCAGTTTTGTTTGTCCCCAAAAAGGAGGGAGAGTTGCGTATGTGTATCGATTATAGGGGTCTGAATGCCATTACAGTGAAAAATGTTGAGCCACTGCCCAGGATAGACAATCTTTTGGATCGAGTGCAGGGCTGCAGATATTTCTCAAAGATAGATTTGAAGTCCGGATATCATCAGATAGAAGTTCATCCTGATGTGTGCTTAGGCCTTGGTTAGATAGATTCGTCGTAGTTTACCTAGACGATATATTAGTTTCTGGTAAGACCCTCCAAGAGCATCAAGGTCATTTGAGGCAGGTCTTGGAGAAGTTGAGAGAGACTAACTTCAAGATCAATGCGAAAAAGTGTGAGTAGGCCAAGACACAAGTCTTGTACTTGGGCCACGTCTTAGACGGAGATGGCATTAAGCCTGAGGATAACAAGATAGCGACGATTAGAGATTGGCCGACGCCCCGCGCAATGACAGAATTGCGGTCATTCTTAGGCCTAGCTAATTATTATAGGAAGTTCGTAAGGAATTTTTCCACCATCGTCGCTCCCCTTCGCAGGTTGCTCAAGAAGGATGCAATCTGAAAGTGGGACAAAGAATGTACATCCGCTCTTAAGAAGTTAAAGCGAGCATTGATAGAGTACTCTGTCCTCAAGGTGGCACATCTGTCCTTGCCATTTGTCGTCACCACGGACGCAAGTCAGTATGGTATAGGCGCCGTGTTGCAGCAGGACGGCGACAATGGCTATAGACCCATAGAGTTCATGTCAGCGAGGATGCTATCAGAGAAAGTGGGTACCTCGACTTACGAGAGAGAACTCTACACTCTCAGGCATGCCTTAGAACACTGGAAGTATTACCTGCTTGGGAGACACTTCAAAGTTTATTCAGACCACGAGACTCTTAGGTGGCTGAAAACGCAGGCCAAGATGACATCTAAGCTAACTAGGTGGGCCGCTGAGATAGACCAGTATAAATTTGAGCTCAAACCAGTCAAGGGCAAGTATAACGTAGTTGCGGATGCTCTAAGTAGGAGATCAGATTACTTTGGAGCTATAGTTCACTATCTGAATATAGGAAGAGACCTGCAAGAGAAAATAAGACAGACGTATGCGTAGGACCCTATTTATAATGACCTCCTTAAGAAAGTTAATGAGGCCCCAGAGGCTGAACCAGATTACCGCACTACAGAGGAATTACTGTTTGAGAAGACCAATGTAGTAGACTGTCTGTGCGTTCCTAATAGTGAGGAAATCCGTAGTTTGATCCTAGGGGAATGCCACAACACCGAGGGATATTTCGGTTGGCAAAAGATTCGAGCCAATCTGATGCATGCGTATACTTGGCCAGGAATGAAAGTCGACTCCATAGAGTACATTCGCAGTTGCAAAGTCTGTCAGAGGAATAAGACAACTACGCGTGCCCCTCTAGGTCTTTTGCGACCCTTGCCCATACCTGATCAACCTGGCGACTCAGTATCCATTGACTTCATGGATGCTAGCGTCAAAAGTAGGCATGGAAAGAGCCAAGTCATGGTAATAGTGGATAGATTTAGCAAATATGTTGTTTTTGTTCCCTTACCCGCAGAAGCCTGTACAGAGTTAGTCATTCAGAAGTTTTTTGACTTTTGGGTTAGTGATCACGGGATCCCATTGTCCATAGTCAGCGATAGGGACACCCGGTTTACAAGTCAGAACTGGCAGGAGTTAATGAGAGTATACTGGTCAAAGTTGTTAATGTCGTCTGGCCGTCACCCAGAGACTAACGGTCAGACCGAGTAGATGAATAAGATCCTGCAGCAAGTTTTGCGCATGTATATGAGACCAGATCAAATTAACTGGGATGAGACGTTGCCGAAGGTAGCCAGTGCATGTAACAACAATGTGCACCTAGCCACTTGTCGTACTCCCAATGAGCTGCATAAGTCCTTTAGACGATGCAGACCGTTTGAAGGACTTAACCGGGACCAGATTCATAGGCTACCGCCCGGTACTCGGGAGTTTGCGATACAGCACGAGAAGGAGTTAGCTACCGTTGTTGAGAACCTCAGGAAGGCCCAACACCGAATGATAGAGCAGGCTAACAAGCATCGTCGCCCGTCGCAGTTTCAAGTAGGCGACCTAGTCTGGGTGAAGTCCAAAGAGTTTGCTCCTGAGGAAAACATTTTGCAGAAGGTACTGCCGGCGTACAGGGGGCCGTGCCCAGTTCTAGAGGTTAAGGGCGGAGAGGATGGGCCGTCCTATACAATAGAGATCCTAGCACACCTCCACGCCTACCATGTGTTCCATGCGACAAAGTTGTTACCGTGTGTCACAAGTCCACAGTTTCCGTCAAGAAGATCCATGATCCCTCCGGCATGGATGGAAGATACGACATTGAGGGCATTGTAGGTGAAGACGTATTCAGAACAGGAGGTAGAGGTCGTCCACATAAACAGTACAAGGTCCGATTTGCTTATCAGGAACCCGAGGACGACTGCTGGTTTACTAGAACTGAACTTCTAGAAACAGCTCCCGACGTTGTTAGAGCCTACGAGAGAGAAAGGAAAGGTAAAAATCCGGTCTTGGACTGAATTATTCTCGGAGGACCTCGAATTTAGGCCAGCGGGAGTGAAATGGTATTCACCTGTTAGCAGTAGCGGATGCAGATCCCAGGGCTCGATCCCTAGTTCTTACCTTACATGTGTACAGTACCTGCGTCGACCCAGAGCGTAACAGTTGCTAGGCTGTCGTAGGTCCGTAGGTTGTAGGGGTTCGATTTGTAGACCTGTCGGATAGAGGTCTTAGTGAGTTCTAGAAGTCGTAGTTGTGGCACTTCTGAAAGGTCAAGTTCGTAGCTGCCACAGTCCTGAAAGGTCAAGGTTGTAGCTGCTACAGTGTCGAAGGGCCAAGTCCGCAGACTTCCGAAAGGTCGGAAGTGGCCCTTCCAAAGTTGTCTCATGTTTGGACAGAAGCAAGTGGGCAAGTGGTGCGCCCAACTGTGTTACTTCGACAGTGCGACTGCATCGAGTTGGCAGTGCAAACCCATGCAGTCAGCGGTACCGGTCCTGGTCAATCACAGTCATGCCAAGCAAGTATCGTGTGGGACTGTGTGCACCAAGGGCATGTGAAAGGGGCTGACCAACGAGTTACAGAAGTATAAATCAAGAGGCAGCGCCCAACCATTCATTCATTCCTGCGTAAGCCATGCGGAACTGCTGCTTGAGCAACTTGTGCGAGGTGGTCTGCAGAGTGCCCGAAGACGAAGTGGGCTGAAGGAGATAGTTAGACATATGTTACATGCCCAGTTGGGCGATGTACATAAGAACCGAGGATACGCAATGTGATGAAAAGGACTGAATGGACAATGCAGTGCAAGTAGAATCTCAACAAGCAATGTGCATTCCAATACATACAAAATGATGTTGAATAGCGCAGGGAAGACTTAGATACAAATCCTGACCTGACCGGGACTGACCTCATTCACGTAGCACAAGATAGCAAAACAGAATGCCAGAATGCTAATGACTAGCCCAATCAATGTCACAATGCAAACTAAACATACATCATGCTCATCACCAGGTGTGAAGAGGCCTGGTGCTATACACAGGAAGAGGCACCAGGTCCAGCCATGCACAGACAAAGAGGAGGGGATCAGACGAAGAGGAGGGGAGAGATGGGAATGTTCTCAACACCAAGTCTCGTTACGAGTCCCAAATAATCCCTCGTCAAAATGTCTGAAGTCCAATGTCGAGTCTGGATCCACATGTCACCAAGCTCTCT